CTACTCTGGCTGGTTATTATATACCCTGACACCAGAGGTGGGGATGGGTGGGTCTGAGGATGCGGTTAGTCTTTGGAAAAGGTCAAGGACAGGGCGGTCCCGTAGGCACGCCCTTTTCAGGAACGTATTGCCCTGGGCATTGTATTGTTTTTAGTAAACATGTTTTTAGTAAACATTGTCTTACAGCTGCATTGTATTGTTTTTAGTAAGCATGTTTTTAGTAAACATTGTCTTATAGCTGCCTACTCCCAGGCTGATGGGGAAGTGGGTCTCTGAACAAGGTCTGGTGTTCCCACAGGTCATGGTCCCTGAAGAAAGATGACTGCCTCTGTAACAGGCCTGCTGTTCAGGAATGAATATATTCTGAATAATCACTGCTACTCTGTTCTTAGGATCTAAGACTACTGAAACAATGGACCCCAAGAATTACAATTCTGCCAGTTATCTCCTGCTGGAGAAAGAAAAGGTTGAAACCCTGGTGGTGCGGGGAGCAGTCAGATTTCAGAAACCTGTATTTAAGAGAAAGATTTACACTCTGTCTGATGACCTTGCAGGATATATTGGAGCTCCGACAATAGTAGGTGAAGGAACACATCTTTGCTGGACCATTGGGTATTCACATCTCTTAGCTTTTATTTGAACCTTAGCCTCCTGTTAGGATGTGAAGATGAAGGCGGGAGATATTCTTCTGGATCTCTTTGCCCTTCTTCTTAACGTGGCTGTAAGGAATAAATTTCCTTTTTTCTGCTTTTCACTTTTAATTTGGCTCTTTTAATGAGTTGAGGATGGTGGCCAAACTGGGCTTGTTGGGGGAATAGGATGTGGCCCCAAATACTGCAATCTCCCTTAGTAACCAGCAATTGCTGATAACTCCTCAGCTCAAGATGGAATCTCAGGAGTCCCTTACCAGTCCTTGCCAGAATTACTGATTGGTATGGTCTTGTGCAGGTATTACGCAAGTAGCGGTAGCTCCTGTGAGCTCCTGTGTACAAAAGCTAGTAACTGCCAATAGCTACTCAGCCCGTGATGGGGCTTCATACCCTTCCGCCTCCTCCATTTTTTAAAAAATGTCTTCTGCATTCAAACACAGCCACCATGAGTTCATGACTGCAACAGCCCTGTCATGCGCAGAGGACACTATTTTGTAGCATTCATTCCTCCACAACCTCTGACTGTTACAATCTCTTTGCATCCTTTTCTGTGGTGAATCCTAAGACTGGAGGTGGGGTGGGGAGTCTAATACAAATGTCACTTATTCTTTGCCCTCCAAGCATTTGTGAGTCTTTGACTTAATTACTGTCTTTGAGGACAAAACCTTTCACCTGGTGAGGACTGATAGCTGAACGGCTTTACTTTTGATAAAGTGGGTGTAATTCTCATAAAGGCCCAAGAGTAAGTACCCTGGGCAGGAAGCATGCCTGTTTTTTGTTCTAACAAAGGTGGTGACTGTGCCTTTTCCCCATTGGCTGGGTTCCAACTTCATAGCTTTTCCTGATCGGCTACTTTTTGGGGGGGGGGGCTGGGCAAAGAAAACGAAGGTGAGAGGAAAGGGGTCATTGCTCCAGGTCACTAAGTACTGGGAATAGGTAAGTCAAATATAGGTTTGACTGGTTTAGGGTGGAGGTTAAAAACATTTTCATAAATGTTTTACAAGGTGTGGCGGATGAAGATTGGAGTTCCCTTACCATCAGCAAAAGTTTTACAGAATTGGACTGAAAAGATTATTATTTAATGCTTCTTACAATACTTTTCCAAACAGGCACATGGAACAATAGAATAGAACAAAGAACCCAGATATAAGCCCATGCTCCTACAAACACATACGTTTTGACAAAAAATACCCATTAAAGAAAAGATAATATCCTCAACAAATTGTGCTGGAAAAACTGGAAGGCAGCACATAGAAGAGCAAAGTTATTTCCTTGTCTCTGAGGCACCACCAACCCCCTTACCTTCCCTACCACCTGCACCCCAAACTCACACAAAATTCAACTCCAAATGCATCATAGACCTCAACATAAAACAGGATACTCTGAACCTTCTAGAGGAAAAAGGATGTTTGCTTTAACTTGTAGATGTAGTTGACTTTCTGAATAAGATTGCTATAGCACAAAGATATAACCAATAATCAGCAAATGGGAGTTCATGACACTAAAAATCTTTCCAGCAAAGGTAACACCATCAACCAAGTGAGGTGTACTGCAGAATGGGGAAAAAAAAAAAAAACTTCCCCAGCTATACACCTAACAGAGGATTTGTACCTAGAATATACAAGGATTAGTATCTAGAAAAACAAACAAAAAACCTTGACACCAAGAAAATGAAGAACACAATTAAAAATGGGCTGAGAAACTGAATTTCTTAAAAAAACAAATGCAAAGAACTAAGACAAATTTTTAAAACTGTTCAACATCTTAGCCATCAGGGAAATGCAAATTAACACTTTTTTATTATTCCAGCCAGAAAGGTGAAGAGCAAGAAGACAGATGCTGGTGGGGATGTGGAGAAAGGGAAACATTTATTCACTGTTGATAGGACAATAAACTGGTGTAGTAATTATGGATATCAGTGTGAAGTTTCCTTAAAATGCTAGAAATAGACTATCACATGAGTCCTGGCCATATACCCAAAGGACTCTAAATCCACTACAGAGACACTTCTCATCCAAGTTCATTGCTGCTGTATTCACAATAGGGAGGAAATGGAGCTAGAGTAAACATCCATCAGCTGATGAAAGTGTGAGGAAAGTGAAGTTCATATGCACAATGGAATCTTCAGTCAGCTGTAAAGAAGACTGAAATTGCACAGTCTGTAGGTAAATGGATGGGAACTGGAAGCAAAACCACACAGAAAAACAAAGGTCACATGTTTTCTCTCCTATTTAGATTTGTGTTTAAACTGGAGCATGTGTGTGTAGAAGCCAGAAGACTAGGTAGGAGAGTCTGGGGAATGATTTTAAAGGGGTAGGGGGCAGATACAGGAACAGAAGTGGTGGGAACTGGGAAGGGGAAGTGATGGCAGGGGAGGGAAGGATGAAGGGAAAAATAGTTTTTAATCTCCTTTGCAAAAATCAAATTAATCTCAATATGACTAGTATATTTTATCAGGTAGGAATTTTTCCGTGTAAGTAATTGAAATGAACTCTGGATTATTTCACTTGAAAAAAAATCAGTTAGGAATAGGAGGTATATTCAGATGGTAAAGAGAGTTGGAATTGTAAAATGGTTAAGAAGCTAAGCGTAGTAGCATGTGTTCATAATTTTAGCACAGCAGGGATGGAGGTGGGAGGATTGTGAATCCAAGAAACATATAGTAAGACTCTGACTCCAAAGGAACAAACAAGCAATGAAATTAACATAGTAAATAAGGTGAGTCTCATCACTGTTCCACATTTGCAGTGGCCTAAGGGATAGAAGTGGCTGCTCCACCCCCTCTGTATCTCTAAAGTTCCCTTTGACGATTTATTGGATTAGTCAAGGCTGCTCATAAACCCATCTCCCAGCTGCAAGATAAAGGAGGAAAAACAGTCCTTTTACTTTTTCAACTTCTAAAAAGGAATTAAGCTCCGCGTTTCACCAAGCCCCACACAGCAGGAAATACCTGCCCAAAGGAAAAGGGTTTCAGACAGAAGGGAGGAGAAAAAAAATAGTTACTTACCACATTGGTGCTTCCGTTCTGTCTTCATAATTGACTGTATTTACACAGGAAGCAAAAAGCTGTTTTGGTTGCTTGTTTCCTATCCTGATACGTTGTAAGGAAATCTGTAGTATGTTCACATCCTGCTAATCCACAACAATCTGTGGCATCGGAGGAAGTGAATTCAATACAAGACTTGTCGGTGACCAAGCTGTATGAGTTTCAAGTCACTGTTACAGAAACAGTGAACCCCAGTGCTCTCACAAGGGAATAGGAAAAGATGAGCCTATCATAATTATCAGAGACAAAATCTTCTGTCTTTGGAATTAGCTTTGATGATGGAAACATCTAACTAGAAAGCTACAACCAGTATGACCACTGAGCACTTGCAATAGGACTGACATAATTGAAAAACTGATTCTACCATTCTACTTAATTTAGTGAATTTAAATTTGAATGGTCTCTTGTGGCTAGTGACAATTGTACTGAACAGTGTAACTCTGCCTAAGACCTCTAAAAATGGGAGTCTTGTCTACCTTGCCCGATAGTCTGTTTACCTGGCTTCATGTACCAGTGTTGAGTTATCAGGTTGTGGGGTTCCTGTAAGTCTTTATCTAGCTTCAAGTGAGTCAGACACTGCTGAGCATACCTGTGAACATATGAGGTACAGTGGCACTCGGGTTCTTCAGGGGAAAACACCATAGATGAGTAATATTTTAGTATGATAAATGATGAGGACCAAGACAGGGGCTTGGTGCTCCGATACAGAGACCACGCAACACGAAAGCAACATATGAGTGAAGACTTATCAGAAGCATATATAGGAGTCAACCAGCTTGTGAAGGAACAGAAAGTAAGACCATGCCCATTGGTTCTGGAGACAGTGAGTTAGGGAATCGGGAGATGGCCAGTGAGGCAGGTAAAAGGGTAATGTAGTTTATATGTGGGGGTCTGGGGGGGTGTTTTATTGGCAATCTCTTTAGCTCCACTTTTGAGTGAGTTGGAAGTCATTAAAGTGTCTCCATGAAAGGTCTGTGCCACATCTCATTTGTATTTTTCAAAGAATTGCTTTTGCTTTGTTGCTAAGAGTGCTTGTGAGTCAAGGGCTGCTGACATAGAAGGATCGCCCAAGGAACTGAGGAACACTGCAGCTATCCAGGCAAGACATGGTGATGACTTGAACTGTAGGAGCAGTGAAGATATCTTAGCCTATTTTCTCTAGTTTAATTTTACTTTTTTTTTGTAGTGCTGAGAATCTCACCTTAAGACCTCACATAATCTAAGCAAGCAATCACTGTACACTGAATCATACCCCGTGTCTCTTAGTTTACTTTCTGTTACGTGACTGAATACAGCAGACTGGATAATTTATGCCACATAAAAGTTTATTTATTCACAGTTCTGGATGTAGAAATACCAAGGCACCAACGATTCCCAGCTTTTAGCTTCTTCATGTCATGATGTGGCAGAGGAGGCCACATGTTGACATAGTAAATTTTCCAGAAGGACACATTCATAACAAAGCCACTCCCCTAACAACTAAACAATCCATTGATGGGTTAAGTAAGCCATCCATAAGGGCAGAGCCACAAAGAAATGGTCAGCTATCAATGATCCAAGCTGCAAATATTATCAGCTCATTAGCTTGAGCTTGTCTTTAACAATGAGTTCACAGGTGCAAATGCTGAAACCATAGTTGGTGGCAGGAATTGCCAAGTTCAGGGTTTGAAGGTAACATTAGCAGCATTGGTTAATGGATTGGCCATGGTCTGTGAGAACAGATGAAGACAAAGATACAACCAGAAAAACGGAGGTAGAATTTACTAGTGTGAACAGAACTGTGGGTGAGCAGTTTTGGAGGGCAGACAAGGAGCTTCAGTTGACATCTGCTGAATCTGAATCCAAAAGTGAAGAAGGAAGAACATGTTCCATAAAGCCCTCGGTTGCAGTCATCTAGGGGCTGTTTGTAGCAGAGTGTGCCAGCTAGCCACCTAGGGGAACAAGCAAAGCCGTAGAGCTGTGGAGTTGACTCTTCTGCTCTGTCGGGAGCTGGGAAGTCCCCAGGCACCTCCCGTGCTCCCAGAGTTCCTAACTGTCTGTCACTGCCCATCGCACAAAAGGCACACCTTCCAGCTGTGCCAGTCACCATGTATTCTGCCTGGAGGAAGCTGTCTAGACAGTGTCTTTCCCTCCTTGCAAATACACTTTTGCTTTAAAAATCATTTTAATTCAGTACTAACGAGATCACAGAACTCCCCCAACAGACAAATTATTAACTATTAATGAGAACATTTAAAGGTAATTTTCTTTGTTTTATAGAAGTTTCTTTAGAACTAGAAAGCGATAAGGGAAATAAATGTAATTAACTTTGAAATGCTAAATAGATAGTAAAAACACCCACCTCCTCTTTAGCCTTGGCAAGGATTTTTCTAGGTTTTGGATTCGTTCATTTACGAAGTCTGGAAGTCTGGCATTTGCTTGTTGTTGAGTTGGTGCCAAGAAAATGAGATGTTTGTCATCTGATAGAACAGAAGGCCTCTTTGATTTCCTGGGAGAGTACAAACTTGGAGAATGTGCAGCCTGCAGAAAAGGGAAGGGAAACCCGTAGCATTAGCCCGAGGCTGCCAAGCTTTCTCTTGAAGGGTTTGCAGAACAGAAACCATGTTGTGAGGCTGCCCAGCTGCTTCGGACTTCCACCTATAGCTCCGTGCTGAGTTCCTATCTAGAGTCTTGTGTATGAGCTAGAGATTTGTGCCTGAGTCCTAATTATGTCCATATTTCTCCTGCCTGACCCCAGGCCAACAGCTGACTTCTCTCCTGTCTCTACATATGCACACCTTTATTGTATGCCCCTCCTAAGTGCCCTGTATGAAAAAAGGGTTTGTTTGTCCACCAGGGAAAGACGTCTCCATTTCAAGCAAACCATGCACACGGATGTGTCACTTTGTATTCCCAGAAGGCATTAATGTTTTCCTTCCCAGACTCCATTTACCATTCCATATGCTTGTCCATTAAGCTGCAATGAAGCTGTTGTTGATGTTATGCCTTTCGTTGGAACATGGCCCTTGGCTGAGGGAAGTCACCTGGCCTGGAGATGCCTGACGTGATGTCTGTACCTTAGGCCTACTGTCATTGTCTAATAAATAGGAGGCATAAACTTATGCCTAATCCTTTGCCCCAAGGTTAGGCAAATCCATAGTGTAGCTAGTGCTTCACAGCCCTAAGGACCAGAATAAGGCTATGGGGTTAAGGCGTTGTCTTGAGATTACATCCTTGCTTGTCTCCTGCTTTCCTGTCCTGCTTTACTCCCGTGGTCTCCTATAGGTCTTCTGGCACCTTACCCTAACTGTATGTGCACACAGCCCTACTTTGCATTGTGTTTCTAGACAACTTGACAGCTGGCTCCTGATTCCAGAACTGGAGGCACGTCTTACCGCGTGAGTCAGAGAATCCCTGGATAATTTGGGTTCTGGCAAATGGATTCACTCGTAGCTACAATTGTGACATTCAGTGAGCCCATAGACTATCACTAGTGAGTGATTGTTGTCCCTCAAAGAGAAGCTTTCAGATGTTTGGCACTTCCTTGAATGTCACAGGATGCTATGAGGTTGAATTTGTGGACAAATGCCATCTAATGACCACAACATAAACATGTAACTGGGGTGCATCACAAGGATTTCACAAAGGCATTGTTTTGAAGGGGGTCTTGTTAGCTCAGAGTCTAGGCTGACCTTTCACTTATGGTCCTCATACTTCACCTCCTGAATGCTGAGATTATGGGATTGTATGAGCATGGCAAAGAATGATTTTAATATACAAGCATTTAAAGTTTCATGAGTCTCTTCATAGTGTCTAGTCAAGATTTTCCAAACAGAGCATCTTGACCTATTTTTCTTTTCTCCTAAAATGTGATCCATAGACCAACAGCATCAATAGCACCTGGAAGCTTCTTAGAGATGTAGACTCTTGTGTCTTAATCCAACTGACTCAGAATTCATATTCTTAACATTTCCCATGAGATTCTTAAGCACAGGAAATTTGAGGACATGGGCTCAAAGAGTATTTTCAGCAAATGTAATAGTGACATTTGGGTCCCATGACAGATGCCTGTGTAAACATCTTAAGGGAGGTGTCTTACTTTTCTATTGCTATGAAGAGACATCATGGCCAAGGAAACTCATATAAAATGAAGCATTTACTTGGGAACTTGCTTACAGTTTCAGAGGGCTACAGTTCATGTCATCAAGGCAGGAAGCATGGTGACACAAGGCAGATGTGGCACTGGAGCAGTAGCTAAGAGCTTCCCATATTGATCTACAGGCAGAGAGCAGAGAGAGAGAGAGAGAGAGAGAGAGAGAGAGAGAGAGAGAGAGAGAGAGAGAGAGAGAGAGAGAGAGAGAGAGAGAGAAGAGGAGAGGAGAGAGACGGAGAGAGGGAGAGAGGGAGAGAGGGAGAGAGGGAGAGAGGGAGAGACTGGGGACAGTGTGGGCTTTTGGAACCTCAAAGTCCACCCATATGACCCACCTCCTCCAACAAGGCCACACCTCTTAATCCTTCCCAACAGTTCACCAACTGGGAAAAAAGCATTCAAACCTATGAACCTATGGGCCCTTCTCATTCCAACTATCACAGGAGTGAAGATTTGTTTTGGCTCTAGGTTTCAGAGGATTCTGTTGATGGTCGCATGGTCCTATGTGTTTGAGCAGGACACCTATAAGATAAAAAGTTCTTTATCTCATGGAAGACATGAACAGAAAAAGTGCCTACTAGTGACCAATTTTACTATCAAAGGCATGCTTACTGTGACTCATTTTCCCCAGCTAGGACCTACCTTGTAAAGTTTCCAGAACATTTCAAAATGACATCACCAACTAGAAATCAAGTGAATACATGAGTCTGTGGGGGATATTTCATATCCAAGGCATAAAAACATATTTTCTTGATTTTCATAATTAGAAAAATTTGAAAGTGTCCAAATCTACAAAACAAGGGCTCAAGGTAGAATAAAGTGAATGTGTGGACCCAGTCTCTGGCATCTCAACACTCAGGAAACTGAGGCAGGTGCATCATCAGTTTGAGGCATGTAGTAGCTACAGAACAAGACCGTGTCGTGAAAAAAATGATATATCCATAGTTGTAAATTTAAGGTATAGGCATAGATGAACACTGCTCTCAGCTTTCATCAGAAAACTTTCTTTTTATAGTGGTAGCAGTTAATGCAGGGACTCATAACTGGTCAAAGTGTTGAGAATAAGTAGGTGTTGAGTCCTATGCCCTAAGCAAGACTTCTCTGTCACCCCTGCCAAGACTCGGGGAACACTGCGGATAGAGTATAAGGGTTAGAGATGTGGGAGAGTGCTGCAAAATGATGTCTTTAAGCATGGCGTGGCACTTGCACTCCTGAACTCGCTGCAGTTGTGGCTACCTGTACAAAATCTGCACAAGGTTGAGCCCATTAGCAACTCCTCATGGATGAAAGTGGGGTTTATGAGATGCCACCCCACTCCCAAGAGACTATTAGCAGTTAATGATTTCTTGGAGTGTGTGCCATTTTCTTCAGTGGTGCAGCCACTGATAAATTATCTATGCTCCATTAAATAATTCACACCCATGCTCATGTAAGCCACCTAATTAAACTTGGTGGGATATTCCCAGAGATGTGAAATGAGAAAGAAGACTTGTTAGAAAGAAGCGATTCAACAGAAGAGGGGAGAGGCTGAGCAAGAATGTAGGGATTGAAAATGACTAACATTCAATAAATACATGCACTAAGCTGTCAAATTAACAAAAAGATCGAATGACAAAATTAATGAAGATGGAGAAGAAGAAAGAGAAGGAGGATTTTGATTTTTCGAGACGGCTGTCCTGGAACTCTCTCTGTAGACCAGGCTGGCCTTGAACTCACAGACATCCGCCTGCCTCTGCCTCCTGAGTGCTGGGATTAGAGGTGTGAGCCACCAAACGCCCGGCAGATGTTACATATTATTAAAATAATAAATGGATGGTCTTAAACATTTAAAAAATAATAACAAAAAATGAAAATGACTTCCTGGCCTTCAAGTCACGTCTATCGTTGGGTTTGCACTGTGAGTGTGTTTTGGGGGCTCTTGCCTTGATTTGATAGAGTGAGTGAGTAGAAATTATTTCAGTGAGATAAGCCAGTCTAAGTAAAGGCTCTGAGTGGTAAAATACCCGTTTGCATGTCTGGGGTCAAGATTTTAAAGTTCAGTCGACAAGATGCTAAAAGACAAGGAGCCATTACAGACTATTTGGAGCATTCAACTTTCGCTCTTTTCGGTGCTGATGGGCCGTTTATCTGCAAGTAGAGATTCATGGCTAAGAAATAAAGAAAAGTGCGGGTGAAAGGGAGAGGATTCTGTTATCAGGAGGTTTAATTTGCCCAGGGTGCTGAATAAGAGAGACATTATTATAGTCAGTTAGGTGGAGGGAATAATGCCAGGTAGATCTGTCCTGAAATCTCAGCCACAAAGCCCTGCTGTAACAGGCCCAGTCTCCTGAGATGTTATTTTGTGATGGGAACCTTTGTAGAAAATGAGAGGGGCTGAGTTAACACTCTAGGGTTTGGTTCGGTGTTTAGTTATACCCTTATCTGACTTCAAAACCCTTTTTACTCTAACAATATATATTTATCATAAAATTTACTTTACCATGTTTTCCTTACACTTCTGTGTCTCTAACATGCTTTCAAGCCATAGTTGGTCTCTAATTGAGTGAAACTAATTTTTAAGTAGATATTAATATGTATTCAAGAATACAAAACTGCAATCTTAACATTCATTGAAATCCAGTAGAGTTCAGCCTCTGGGATTCCATGATAGCTGACTGGTCATGATTTTCTCATACCTTATTAGATTTGCCCTGCTTGTTTTGATGAATTCAATAGAGTGACACTAAATTACATGTGTTATTTTTCTAGGTATGGAGCTGGGTACTGGTATTAAAACAAAATGTCCAAATGTGTCCTTTAGACTGGAGAAATGCAGGAGGGTGTTATAAGACATAAGTCTGTGAGCATTATTCAGTAGCTAGATTGCTTGGTACTTTACATTTAAATTATTGAGAAGTTAAAAAGAAAGTCAGATGCTGCGGCTTCAGGGAATGAATATGTCTTTAATCACTGACATAAAAGAGAATAACATTCCTTTAAAATGGTAGTATTAATTCAGAGCAAAATTCTTCCCTGATAAAGGGACATTTACCCTGCTCAGAGTTGGGAGCCTGCGCTTCTGCACTTATGAAACACAGCTAATTAGGTATCTGTGTTTCTTACCTAGCACAAAGATGTAAGCTCTAAAAATGGGTGCAGGCTAAGGGGTACTCACTCTCACTGCTCAAATCTTCTTGCTACAGAAAAGAAAGACACAGGTTGCATCTGAAGGACTTTGCTAATACTTCCATAATAATTCTTAAACATTCACAAAGGGCTATTTACAGTTTTACTATCAATGGTGATTTTCTTTTTTGTAAATTACAAAACAAAACTCCCACTTTCATCACTGAAGCAAATGAAGAAGGTACCACCAAAACGTTTTGT